ACTGATAAGAGGTTTTCTACCAGTATTCGGTTGTTGTGGGCAGGTGCTGTGAATAGAAGTTATCGCTACGAGTGTTTGAGTTATGTGGTATATCATGGGTTTACCCCGAGGTTGCAGGCATAGGTTATTTCAGCTAGTTCGGGTCTATTCGGAGTATCAGTGTGAGGTTTTGATCGTATTGATGGTTTCAGAAGTGGAAATGTGATTCTATGGATTATAGGCCGGATTGGATTGTGCAATTTCAGTTGCAATGTGTTATCGGACCTATGTGAGATAGGGTGACATAGGATCACCCACGGGTATATGCATGGTAAGGTTATTCAGCTATTGGTTGGCTTCTAGAACAACTCTGAGTACGTTCGAGGACGAACGTGTGTTTAAGTGGGTGGGGGGGATGTAACGATCCGACCGGTCGTTTTGAGCTTTTGCACGTTGATCGCCAGTTCTTGGGCATGACTTTCCCCGTGTAATGTATTATAACTAATGTAGACCGTTGGTTTTGGTTTTCAGGAAAATCGGAATGAATTTGAAAGAACAGTCTCAATTAAAAGCTTCGAATTTGAAAGGTTTGACCAAGGGTTGACTTATTTGTATATGAGCTCGGGTCGGAGTTTTTATGATTTGGTTAGCTTCGTTAGGTGATTTGTGACTTAGGATTGTGATCGGAAGTGGTTTTGGAGGCCTGTTGTAGAATTAGGCTTGAATTGGCAAAGTTAGTATTTTGGCGTATTCCGGTTGATAGGTGAGATTTTGATTCGAGGGTCGGAATGGAATTCCGAGAGTTGCTGTAGCTTCGTTATGTCATTTGTGATGTGTGTGCAAAATTTCAGGTTATTCGGACATCGTTTGGTCGGGTTTTTGATCGAAAGTGTATTTTCGGAAGTTTGTGGAAACTTAGGCTTGAATTTGATGAGTTTTGGGTAATTTGATGTTGTTTGAGGTGTTTTGATGATTGGAAAAGGTTTGAATGATGCTATGGATTATGTTGGTATGTTTGGTTGAGGTCCCGAGGGCCTCGGGTGTGTTTCGGGTGGTCAATCGGACCACTTTGTGCCTTAAAAGATAGCAGGAAATTGCAGGTTTGGCTTCAGTTCTGTTGTAGGTTTTTTCCTCTTTGTGATCGCGTGAGGGGGCTCGCGATCGCGTAGAGTTATTTAGGGAAGGCATCCAGGTTGTTCATCGCATTCGCGCAGATGGATCTGCGATCGCGTATGTTTTTATTATTGTGAATCGCGGTCGCGTAGTATCATTCGCGATCGCGTAGTGGAAAGGTACTGAGCATCGCGTTCGCGTGAGGTTAAACGCGATCGCGTAGAGTAAAGTTGGGCTGTGCTTCGCGATCGCGAGGTCTTTTCCGCGATCTCGATTAAGTGAAATTGAGTGCTGGGCAGAATGTTTTAAAAGCCCATTTCCGCGATTTTGAGGCTAAGAACCTCCATTTTTGGGCGACTTTGAAGCTTGGGAGAGCTAATTGAAGAGGGAATTCAAGAGGATTTCTTGGAGGTAAGATTTTTGATCTCAATACTCGATTATTATGTGAATTCCACCAAGAAATTCATGGAAACTAAGCCTAAAATTGAAGAACTAGGGCTTGAGAAAATTTGACTTTTGATTTGGGATTTGAAAGGCCATTTGAGGTCGGATTTGAGAGTTTTTAATATGTATGGACTCGTGGAAAGATAAGGAACCCGTTGATGTGAAAATTTTTGAGTTTCGAGAAGTGGGCCCGGGGCTCGGGTTTTGCCAATTTCGGGATTTTTGATATTTTTCGATTGTTTTCGATTGGGTTTTGTCCCCTTAGCATATTGTGATGTATTCGTTCTGGTTTTGGATAGATTCGACGACGTGATTTCTCACTGCTCAGTTATTATTTACCTTTATTACTCACTGAGTTGGAGTACTCACTTTACTCCCTGCACCTCCTGTGCAGATGCAGGTATTTATCCACCCGTTAGCGGGTTTTGGCTGATCAGAGGTAGAGTTATAGGAGTTAGCGAGGTGACTGCCAGCGTCCGCAACACCGTTTTTCTCTCTTTTGTTCATTATTTCGATTTTGTATATTTTGACCTTGTAGTTGGATTTACACACTAATAGATGCTCGTGACTTGTGACACCCCGATTAGGGCTGTGTTGGGTTGTACTTCCGCTAATTAATATTATTAAATCATATTTAAACTGTTTATGAACTGTTTAACTGCTTAAAAGAGGTGTTCTGGAATGGTCTGGGTGGCCTTGTCTTCACGAGAGGTGCCATCACGACCGGGGCGGAGTTTGGGTCGTGACACACGCGCAACGCGCGTACCTTAAGACTAGTAAGAAAAAATGCAGAAAATATTGAGTACTGCAAAAAAATACTTAATTATATATGGATTATATTATTATATAGATAATAATAGTTAATTAATTCAAATATAAAATAACAGACTTAAAAAATTCTAGAATCCTTCGTACACAAAATCTTCTAACCTTTACTACTAAATATAAGCTAAATTACATAATTATATCAGTCGTATACAATACATATTACTTGTTATAATTTTTCTAACTTTATAGTGTTTTTGCTTTATGAAAAAATTGAACATCAAAGACATCAATTACTCACAATAGGGATAAATTTTTTGCTTATAACGTTGGTGTCAGAGCTTATAGGATATTGTAATCCCTAAATGGATGCGATTAGAGGCGAAGTCAATATTTGAAGGTTATGGATTCGGGTTTTAATACTTTTAAATTACTGAGTTCTAAATTAATAATTAGTACTTATTTAATGAATTTCATAAGATAAATACAAAGTATGAACCAAAGCTATTGAGTTCGGCCAACCCGCAGACATGGGCTGGCTCCGCCCCTGCATGAGATGCCCAAGTTTCATTTATCAATACATGAAATGGTTATTCAATTCAAGAGTTACGATGTATATCGATCATAAGTTAAAAACAAAATTAGTGTCGTTTCCAACCAACCACGAGCCCATTTCTGAGAAGCTCACTGAACTAATGGAAATTGTTTAAGAAAGTCACTTTACTTTGTTTTGTAACCGGAAAGTCATTATTCTTTGTACATTGTAACTCAAAAGTCACTCAACACATTTAGGGTATATTAAATATTATTTTTCATATTTTTTTAACTCAATCATTTAAACAATAAAAAAAAACTATTTAAACCGTGACTCAACCCGCTCTTTGACCCGACGCACTTTCTCTTATTTTTGTTATAAAAAACGTAAATATTACTTTGGTTTTCAACATACTGGTTTAAGCAAAGTATTAAATCAGTTCGACTAGAAATTGTCTTCTAGTAACATTATCTTTACTATAAGCAATGCACGTTCTTGTTCTAAAACATCGAGGTTATTGTCTTTTTTTTTTTGGTAATTAAACTTTCTATTTACCAGGGAAAATATTTACAAGTAATACAAAACCCATACATTCCATCCTACACTTCTATTATCCCCTCCCTCCTTTTCATAAGAATATTTATCCATTACAAGGGTACCAATTCAGGCTATTCAACAAAGTTCATAAGTATTTGTTGTTTTTACAATGGACTTCTTGCACAATCTGCTTGCATAGCACTTCCCATCTCCTTTCTCTTGCTTGGAAAATTCTTACATTTCGTTCTTGACATACATAATACACAGCTGCATCTAAGATCATCTTGAACAGTTCTGTTCTTGGGTTCCTTCGCTTGGTGAAATGTGTTGCCCATATTAGTTATTGGTCCCATCTTTGTGCTTTCCTGTTAATACCTTGCCAGCTTAACAATCTGCTCCATAATGCTCTTGAATATTCACACTCAAAAAACAAGTGTTGGATACTTTCTCTTCCTGTTTTGCACAGCACACATTCTTCCTCTACTTGTATTCCCCATTTCTGTAGTCTATCCTTTGTGTATAACTTGCCATGAGCCGTCAATATTAACATGAAAGACCATCGCGGGCACCCTGCATTCTGGCACACAACTTTTTTCCAGCTCACCTTTCCAAAATTTCCTCGCAGCCTGTGGTATATTGCTTTGATACTGCTATTTTTGGTTCTCTTTACATCTTCATAGTTGAAGTCTGCTTTATCAAGAGTGTCCTTTGCCTTTAGTATCTTCCCCACGATCCAAGATGCTTGTTTCACCTGTAGACCCCATACTTCTCTGCCTTTGACATAGTAGCTATGGATCCACTGAATCCACAACTTATTCTTCTCTCTGCATAAGTCCCAACAATGCTTGCATATTGCTGCCTTATTCCATAATGCTATATGCATGATGTTGAAACCTCCTGCTGTCCTGGGCATGCATATCTTCTCCCATACTAAAAGTGCTTTCTTTGAGACATTAATCTCATCTGTCCATAGAAAACTCCTGCAAATGAACTCTATTAGCTTTGTAATCTTCTTGGGCATCACAAAGATTTGTGCCCAGTATGTCTGCACTGCAAATAATACACTTTTTATAAGTTGTATTCTTCCTGCATAGGACAGGAATCTGGTAGTCCAAGATGTTATTCTTCCTACAATCTTCTCAATCAAGGGTTGGCATTGTACAATTGATATTCTCTTTGTGCTTAGTGGAACTCCAAGGTATCTCACAGGTAGTTCTCCCTTCTGTATCCCCGGGAAGCTTAGCATCTCTTCTTGATTTTCTTGTGTGATTCCTCCACAAAATAAAGAGCTTTTGTTCTTGTTAATTTTCAGTCCTGATGCTTTTGAGAACTCTTGAAAGCCATTGAATATAAGTTGGACTGACTTCAAGTCTCCCCTGCAAAACAGTAAAAGCTCATCAGCAAACCCAAGTTGCAAGATTTGCATCTTTGCACACTTGGGGTGGTAGTTAAAATCTGGATCTTTGTTGAGCATTTTCAGCCTCCTTGTCAAGTATTCCATTGCAAGTACAAATAAGTAAGGGGATAAAGGATCCCCTTGTCTTAATCCTCTTTGTGCTTCAAAAGGTCTAGTTTGAACACCATTAATCAGTATTGTGTATGTGACTGTCCTTATACACTCCATTATCTACCTAACAAACTGTGCTGGGAAAGCTAATGCATGCATCATTTGCTCCATAAAGTCCCACTCTATTGAATCATATGCTATCTGCATGTCAAGTTTCATCATACACCTTGGAGATACACCTTTCCTCCCATCTCCTTTAACCAACTCATGGCTGAATATGATGTTATCAGTTATAGCTCTTCCTGGCACAAGCTTGAGAAATGTCAACCAAAACGTCCATAACACACTGAAGTCTTCTAGTTAGAACCTTGGAAATTACCTTGTAAATCACTGTGCAACATGAGATGGGCCTGAATTCTTTTATACTTGTTGGGTTCTTGACTTTAGGTATCAAAGTTATAGCTGTGCAATTCACTAGTTTATACATTTGTGCAGTCTCAAAGAAATCCTCCACTGCCAGTGTCACCTCTTCACCTATACAGCCCCATGCTTTCTTAAAGAACACTACATTGAAACCATCATATCCTGGAGCCTTCAGATCATTAATCTCTTTCAATGCCTCTCCTATTTCTTCCTTAGTGACTTGTTTGATCAGGTGCAGTTGTTGTTCTCTACTTAATGTAGTTCCCATTTTGATTATGTTGGGATTTATAGCTGGAATGGAGTCATCTTTTGTACCTAGTAGGTTCCTGTAGTAGCCCAGGACTTCTGCTTCTATTTCATCATCTAGAACCAATTGCTTTCCTATATCATCTGATAGCATTTGAATTCCATTTGTACTGTTTCTATGCTTCATTTGTGCAAAGAAGTATCCTGAATTGGAGTCTCCCAGTTTCAGCCATTGCACCTTTGATTTTTGTTTGTAGACATTTTCCTCAATGTTCACCCATTTTTCTAAATCCTGCTTCAGTTTCTTCTCTTTCTCAATTAGCACAGTGTCTTGCCTTCTATTGCCCATGTCTTCCTGTATTGTTTGCAACTCTTTCCTTGCCTCTTTAATTTTTCCATCCAACCCTTTGTAATACTGTGTATTTAGTTCCTTGACAAGCTCCTTAGTTCTTTTGAGCTTATGCCAAACTGTTTGAATTTTTCCAGTTTCCTTTCCCTCCTTCCAAGCTTTTTCAACTAGTTGGATAAATTGAGGATGGTCAGCAATGCAATTCAAGAATCTAAATGGTCTGTATTTCTTTGTATGCCCCTGTGTGATCATCAGCTTCAAAGGAGAATGGTCAGATATTAGTGGCTCTAATACCTGAATTTTCAAGTTAGGCATAGTCATCATCCACTCAGTGTTCACCAACCCCCTATCTATCCTACTATATGTATGATTATTGGTCCATGTATAATCCCTTCCCACTGATTGTAATTTATTCATGCCTGTATCCATCATGTATTACTTGAAATCTTTCACTTTCATGTCCTGAATTTCTGATCCATGCTGTCTATCTGTTATATGAAGTACTGCATTAAAATCTTCCATTGCCAACCAGGGACCCTGTTGGATGCTATTTATCTGCCTCAGTTTAGCCCACAAAGGCTTCCTGTCTTTGATGGTGTGTAGCCCATATATTGCTGTGAAACCAAAATTAACTGGCTTTGATTTCATACTAATCTGCCCATGGATAAATTGTTCATCAATTTCCTTAGGAACAAAGATGTATGTTTTTCCTTTTTGTCTTGTTCTAGCATTAGATACCCATTCCCATCCGGGAGCTATCTTCCTGATTATATCAATGCTTTCAAATCTTTAACTCTGTGCTCTACTATAGCTATTACAGCTTTATTATTTATTCTAACAAACTCCTTTACTTCTTTCTGCTTATATGTTTTATTCATCCCTCTAACATTCCAAGTTACCACACTCATACTGGAATGAAATAAGGATAGTGAAAGTACCCCTACTCTCCTTGACTACTGGTCTGGCTAGTACCTGCTACTTCATTCCTATGATCATACATCAAGCTCTGGAATGTATTAACTTCATCAATACTGTGAACTTCTTGTTGTTTTGCTGTGGCTACTCTTGCTGCAGATTTGCCTGCTACTGTTATCCATCCTGCTTCCTTGTTTTGCATTCCATCTCTCCCTTGATCTGGCTCAGTCCTTTGTTGTCTTGAGCTCTCTTTTGTCTGGTCTTTCTCCTTAGTTTCATTGCCTTCTTCTTTATCTGCTCTAACCCATACCATTCTCCCCTTATTAGTCTTCTTCTGCTGAATATTTCTTTGTTGCTGTATTGGCTTCCTGTTTTCAGAATATTCATGACCTATTTTCAAACACTTACTGCAGTATTTGGGTTCCCAGTCATACTCCACCTCCTGCATCATCTCCTTCCCTTTAGGATCCTGCACTTTCACCTGTCTTGGAAGTGGCTTTGTGATATCCATTTCTACTAATAATCTTGCATATGAAATTCTTACTGCTCCAGTCGTACATTCATCAGCATAGATGGGGTTACCCAGGGCACTATCTATTTTGCTTAATGCTGTCATACTCCACCAATTAACAGGTAGGTTAGGCAGCTTAACCCACAATGGGATTGTCTTTAGCACCTCATCATGTAGGTTGAACTCCTCCGACCATGCCTTCATAATTATTGGTCGATTATTAATCGTATGTGGCCCTGAGTACAATATTTGGTCCCTCTCCTCAATACTACTGAATCGTATGATGAAGTAGTCTTCATTATGGTAGTAGATCTGAGGTTTTGTTAAGTACTTACCCATTGAATTCACAAATCTGTCCATGGCTCCAATTGAGGGAGATTCACCTATTACATATATGACAATGGCATTCTTCCATTTTGCAGTCTCCTATTCTACATCTTCTGCTTCGAGCTTCACCATTTTCTCTCCGTTTTGCACAATTGGGGCAATAAATTGCAAATTCATGCCCTTCATAGCCAGCTTGTTCCCAACCACCACATTTGCCCATGTTTGGGTCCTAGATACGATCTGGTTCCCATCATCTTTGGTTTTCTCTACAGTACTTTGAGTGCACGGTACTGTTCCATTTGTGTTCAAATTGCTCCTTTGTTCTTTCTTCCTCGACTCGTCTCCTTTAGCAATAGCTACCATTGGAGCTGGGGTACTCATCCCTTCCTTCATTTTCCCTTTGTTCCTAGCTAGATCTCCTTCATCACTGTTTTCTTCAGCTTGCATGTTCTTCAAATTTGATCTTCCATCTGGTTCTTCGATTCGTATCCCTTTCGGAGATACAAAGAGCTCTAACACAGCATTCCTAGTTGCTGAGGAACGCTGCTCATCCGTTGCATTCTTCTGCTGGTTTCGCTTAGGTCTTCCCCTCCCTCCCATGGCTTCCAGGCGCAGGTTAGCTAACCACGTTAACTTGCGCCGAGAGAATCAAAGGAAAAGAAAAGGGTAAATATGTTTCAGGTTATTGTCTTTTAATTTACTCTTATATTAATATTTCTCAGTCAAAATTTCAAGCATAAATAACTTTTTTCATTTTTCCTTCCTCCTTTTTATTTTCTTCCACTTCAACGCTTTTAATTTTCTTGTTTCACTTTTAAATTTAACTCCTCTAGTTTGTTAAGATTTCGTATTCTCTATTTAATACTTTGCTTAAACCAATGTATACATTCAATATAACTATATTGAGAACCAATATAATACACTACAGCAAAGTAATATTTACGTTCGAGTCATGATTTCAATGGGTTTTTTGATTTTTTAAATGGTTGGGCTAAAAAAGAAATATGAAAAATAATTTTTAATAATGTCCTAAAGTGCTAAGTGACTTTTGAGTTACAATGTGCAAAGTATGATGATTTTCCAATTACAAAACAAAGTAAAGTGACTTTTATAGATAATTTCTATTAATTCAGCGACCATATAAGAAATGGTAGCCTGAAAGAGTTTTTAATATTGCCGAAGCTGTAATTCTCCACTATATGTAAAGTGAAGTTAAGCAAGACATCGTTACGAACTTACCACTCTACACAAATTATTATTATTTTTTTAATTTTTTTATCTGTGGTTTCCGGGTATCGCTTTGCGAACCCGACTAGCTGTACCCATCGGGACCCGCTGTTTCAATGCGTACACCACGGTTAGTTTACGGGGCCCTGGAGACGCGGCCGGTTTATAATGCCTCCACTGGCCCTGCGGGGGTTCGAACTGGCGACCTGAGGCCTTTACCAGTTGAGCTACCCCTCAGGGTTACTCTACACAAATTGAAATCAAACTTAAGCATATCAAATTAATTTGGTACGATAATGTATACTAGTATTTTTAAAAAGTTAAAAATTTATTATTGTCGAACTGAAAGTTTCAAAACCATATTGTACCATATCATGAACATGTATATTCCACTCTCCTTTCTGTCCGCCGATGTTAATGGGTTTAATCCAGATATTTTTCATTTATAATCCGCAAGTTATCCATTTTGAAAAATAAATAATATGTTACAATTCATATTTGATCCGTTTTTAATAAAGTATCCGATTCATTTTAAATTGGACGGGATTGGATGAATATTTGCAAAGTTTATTCATTTTACTCCCACCTAGTCTCCGTATAACATAGATTTCGACTATATAATATAATGATAACCCACGTATATTAGTGGTTTATAATAATTATCACATGAGTTTTTCTTTCTCAAATCTTCTCTAAACAAAAACATTCACTCGTCTTTCATCTATTTGTTCTCAATTACTCTTAAATATACAAAAAAAAAAAATAAGCAAAACAACCAGAAATAAAGAAAATAGTTAAAAGCCCAATTACGTTATTTCCCGCAGGAAACATGGGGTGTTAAGATAATGGAAACGGACACAGCGAATGATTAGTATTAACCGATAATAAAACCTTATCCGACAATCTCAGGTCTTGGATATGAAGCTTTAAAGGTCAGCAAAATTTCTACTAACTCTCCATCAAAGAGCTAAAGACCCAAACTCGCATTTCAAACAATTTTCCCATTTGTAAGATGCAGATGCCTACACCAATCCGAGCTCCTACATGGGTCTCAAGGCGAAGACATTTCGAGCAGAAATTATGGGACTTAGACAAATGCAGAGACATTAACCAACTGAAGCAAATGCAAGCAATTGTATACAAATCCAATCTTCAACAAGACCCTTTCATTGCTCCCAAACTAATTACAGCTTTTTCTCTTTGTCGCCAAATGGGTTCTGCTTTTAAAGTCTTTAGTCAAGTTCCTGACCCTAATGTGCATTTGTACAATGCTTTAATCAGAGCTCATATTCACAACTTTAACCCATCTGAAGCTTTTGCTACTTTCTTTGATATGCAGTGTGCTGGTATTTTTCCTGATAATTTTACCTTTTCGTTTCTGTTAAAGGGCTGTTCGGGGAAGTGTTGGTTGAGTGTTGTGAGTATGATTCATACTCATGTTGTGAAATGGGGTTTCGAGGATGATATTTATGTGCCTAATTCGTTGATTGATGCGTATTCTAAGTGTGGTGTAGTTGGTGTACGAGCTGCAGGTCAGTTGTTTCGGGGTATGAAGGAGAGAGATGTTGTTTCTTGGAATTCTATGATTAGTGCGTTGTTGAAAGTGGGTGATTTGAGCGAAGCGCGAAAGTTGTTCGATAAAATGCCTCAAAGAGACAGGGTTAGTTGGAATACTATGTTAGATGGATATACTAAGGCTGGGGAAATGATTGTGGCGTTTGAATTGTTTAAAAAGATGCCATTGAGGGATGTTGTGTCTTGGTCCACAATGGTCTCGGGTTATTGCAAAGTGGGGGATTTGGAGATGGCTCGAATGTTGTTTGATAAAATGCCTTCCAAAAATCTTGTATCGTGGACGATAATGGTATCAGGATATGCTGAAAAGGGGCTTGTAAAGGAGGCAATTGGGTTGTATATGCGAATGCAGGAGGCAGGTTTGAAGCTTGATGTTGCGGCTATTGTTAGCATTCTAGCTGCCTGTGCAGAATCAGGCATGCTTAGTTTGGGTAAAAGAGTGCATGATTCCATTGAGAGGAGTACATACAAGTGCAGTACTCTGGTTTGTAATGCCTTGATTGATATGTATGCCAAGTGTGGTTGCTTGCATAAGGCTTATAATGTCTTTAATGGGCTGAAAAAGAGAGATTTGGTTTCTTGGAATGCGATGATACATGGGTTGGCTATGCATGGACGTGGAAAGAAGGCACTTGAGCTTTTCTTTAGGATGAAGCAAGAAGGATTTGTGCCTGATAAAGTGACATTAGTTGGTATCTTGTGTGCATGCAATCATACTGGTTTGGTGGACGAGGGAATAATTTATTTTTATTCTATGGAGAAAGATTATGGGGTAATCCCTGAAATAGAACATTATGGTTGTCTTATTGATCTTTTAGGTCGTGGTGGCTATATTAAAGAAGCTTTCGATCTCGCACGAAAGATGCCACTTGAACCAAACGTTAAAATTTGGGGTTCCCTTTTAGGGGCTTGCAGGATGCATAAAGCTGTTGAAATTGCAGATGATGTTCTTAACCTCCTAGTTAAATTAGAGCCGACAAATGCTGGAAAACTTTCTGCACTGTCAAATATTTATGCCGTGGCAGGAGACTGGAATAATGTTGCTAACATAAGGTTGATGATGAAGAGCATTGGCAGGCCAAAGCAATCTGGTGCTAGCTTATTAGCATTGAATGATGAATACCATGAGTTCACAGTGATGGACAAATCTCATGTCAAATCAGACAAGATTTATCATATGATAGACGGATTAAGTCAGCATCTTAAATTACTTCGTCCTGTTCCAGTGGGTTTTTGTGATGAATGATTAGTTTCATGAACAGAGATGAGTCATCTTATATCGGACCAGATATCTGAGATTGATGCAGTAAATCAACACTTGTAAATATTTTTCCCAGAAAACTATTATGTAATGACACAAACTGCCATGATGACTATGACTCCTGAGATCAATCTCCCACAAAGCAGCAACAGCACTTGAAATAAAGGTGAGATTTGTTATACGTTCTTCTCTCCTATATCCTGCCCAAATCAACAAGTTAGTACATAATATTGAAGAACACTTCCATGGTCAGTGCTTGTGCAGAAGATACCTAACTTAGTGGAAAATACGTTTTAGATAATGATGAGTTGAGAACAAGCATCGTTCTGTTGTATGTTATAATGATGCTGTACTTACAATACAGATTTAGTCTTTCTGATCCACATGTACGATTATAGGGAAGCTTTTTTTAACTTTATACCTCTGTTCTTCAAAACGAGATTTCTTTGGATATCTCCAATATTTCAGGAAAAAAATCTGCAAGTTATTTAGTCCTCAACTTCTTAATAGTTAATCTGTTGCTGTCTTATCCGTGTGCTAGATGTGCAATGCCAGAGAAAATTATTGTGGTTAAAACGGATCAAATATCCGCTGAAGCAGGAAGATGCTCCAAAAACGGTGACAATTATAGTTGATCTTGATCCAAATTATTTGGACCGTGTTGCTGGTTAATTCTCTCATTTAACTGATGTCTCATAGAACAACAAAAAAAAAAAAAAAAAAAAAATCAGTCTGATCCCATAAGTGGAGTTTGCGGAGGGTAGTGTATGTTCAGCCTTACCCCCCTACCTTGTGAAGATAGAGAGACTGTTTCCGATAGACCCTCGCTCAGGAATGATGTTTCATAGAAAGAATGATAAATGTTCATCTGTAATTAGCACCTGCCTAAAATAGAGTTGGGGAACAGAGCCTATCAAATGGAGATTGGACCTTCATCCTTGAGATGATATTGGGGAATTGTGCCACTTAAATATTTGGCAAATGGTCATCCAGAGAAGATTGTCCATCTCATGGGGCAAGTCCTTTTGTATATGCAATTAAGTTGATATGGCAAGAAGGAGATGCTTTCCTCTTCTGGCAAAGGCAAATCAACCTGAAAAGATCAGTCTTTGAAATCATTGAATCAGCTAAGGATGCAACTGGCTAGGCTCGATTTTCAAGCCTTCGTGTTGTATATGTACCATTGTCCTGTGGCAACCCCATTAAGATTTAAAAGACATAAGCTCTTGGGGAAAACCTGGAAGAGCAGGTGAAGCAGCTGTAATCTGACATCATTATAGAAAGTCATTTAGCTGATTAATAAGGAACTAGCTTCAAAAGGCAGCAGAGGCCAGAGGATAAGCTCATATAGAGTTGGAATCTCTTGCTACTAATGTTCTTGGCTTTGCATGTCTTAGTTCGGTCTTCAAAAGCTTTAGTTTTTGATCTGTAATAGTTGCGCACTAGGAAATGCCCTTTTTTTTTTTTTAAAACAATTTGGCAAATTCTTTGTTGTCTATTTTCTGTGTTTTGCTTGGTTTGAAACAAGCCATTTCAGCAGGATTTTTAATCCCATGGTAAGTTACCCCGTTTACATACGAATTGCTGATCCTCTCAATGATACAGTATTTCCTCCTCATGCAGAACAAAATGACTGCCGTCCTGGTGCTATTGGGCTGGCAAATGTGGGAAGTTTTGGGCTCCCTTGGAAGAAATTATTGTGCTCAGAGGTGGAGGTGGAAGTGGCGGGGGAAGTGCACAGTCGGCCACTAATAACACATGTATTTACTTTTAAGCCACCGTTTAAAATGTCTTTAGTCTTTAGCCACTGCTTTAATAAACTTTACCCGCCCGGACGAAAATACCCTTCTACTCATGTCCTTAACTTCAGGACTTCAGGACTACATGTCCTTAACTTTTGAACTTGGAACTCTAAGTTCAGGACTTCAAGACTACATGTCCTTAACTTTTGAACCTGTAACTCTAAGTTCAGGACTTTAGGACTACACGTCCTTAACTTTTGAACTTGGAACTCTAAGTTCAGGACTTCAAGGCTACATGTCCTTAACTTTTGAACTTGAAACTCAAACTTCAAGACCAAGTGTCCTTAACTTTTGAACTTGTAAGTCAAAGTTAAGGACCTATTGTCCTTAACTTTTGAACTTGTAACTGTAAGTTAAGGACTGTTTGTCCTTAACTTTTGAACGTGTAACTGTAAGTTAAGGACTGTCTGTCCTTAACTTTTGAACTTGGAACTCAAACTTCAAGACCAAGCGTCCTTAATTTTTGAACTTCTAAGTCAAAGTTAAGGACCTATTGTCCTTAACTTTTGAACTTGTAACTGTAAGTTAAGGACTGCTTGTCCTTAACTTTTGAACGTGTAACTGTAAGTTAAGGACTGTGTGTCCAAGACAATAAGGTAAGAGTTCGTGAACTCTTAAAAATCATTGAAGAAAATAATGTAAATAGATAAGATTGGTTTTGTGTTTGGTAATACAAAAAACGAGATTGAATTGATCCTTTCAACTTTGAACAAAAGGTAAAGTAAAAAGGAACAAATAGTGGTCGATGGTAAATCAAAAAACAGAAAAGAGCATAAGGAGGAAGAGATCAACCAAGTTATACAGTGAATTCTCGCCGACGGTGGTGAACAAGGTTTACAGATCGAACAAGGAAAATGGCTCCGTTTGGGAAGGAAAGGTTAACACTGTCTTTTCATATTAATTTTAATAGATTAGTGGCTACTATTGCTAAGCATTGAAAATGCTGGATAAAAAGTAAATACCAGCTTAAACAGTGGCTACCCCACGCCATTTCCACGGAAGTGACAGGGAGAAATTCAAAAATAGCCAGATTTACAAGTAGTCATTCAAAAATAGCCACTGTTTCAAAAGTAATCGAAATTTAGCCACTTTCATGTAAAGATAAATCTGAACGAAAACACTGTTCAAAATCTGAAAAAATACTCCAGTATAATATACTGGAATTCCCGTATAATATACTAGAATATACTGGAACTCCAATATGTTCTCCAGTATATTATACTGGAACTTTTCGCGTGTTGGAGTTCCAGCATAATATGCTGGAAGTTCATACACATGTGCACCGATCTCCAGTATATTATGCTGGAACTTTCCGCTTTGCAGCAAAATAGTGACTATTTTTCAATGACTCTGCAAACGCTGTCTATTTTTGAATGACTAGTACAAAAACTGACTAGCCCGTGCTATTTGTTAGGGTGTCAATGCGAAGGTGAATTTAGAACTTTAAGGCCGTGGGTACCAAGTATTGCTGCACTTGTTATTTCTTTGTGCCAATGAGAGCAATTTCCCATTAATATATAGCTTAACCAATGACAAAGCCCCGCTACCATGAGGTGTTTTGATTAAAATTTAAAATTTTGAATATTACAAATTCTCTAAAGCATGTTCAGGATATCCTTATGCGGTTATGCCCATCCATAAGTAAAAAGTAAAACAAACAGCGAGATCGTAATCCCAATATATGTACCTTTCTGAATTTATTCATGGATTAAGGTTTTGAACCTCAATTATTGAAGGAAAAAAACCAAAAGATCTTGTTCTAGTTTTCCTTTTTTAGGAAATTACTCCTAAGTATGAAATGGATGTCTAAAATGAAGATGCAAGAATAATGAAGAGTGTGTAAAAGGAAAAAATATCAACACAAGACTAACCATTGGTAGGTGTGCGAGCATGTTATTTATTGCTGAAAAGTGAATGTGAATTTATTGTAAGAGTTAAAGCACTCTATTAATTTTAGTTGGTTCATTATTCATTCTTAGGAATTAGGATTATACAGCTATAGTTGGCGTATCACTTCTAATATCACATCCCAAAAATGACTTCAAGAATCTTCTTCTATTATCCTTACAAGACAAAAATAGCAAATATGACTATTTTTTCCTTTTCCTTTTTCCTCTTTCTTGAAGTAAGTAGGACCAAATTTTTTTATTTTATGTAAATATTTGATTTGACATGAAATTTAAGAGAAAAGAATATAAGAATTTTGAAACTTGTCACGAATTTGTGTTACTGTACAATCATATCATTAAATGTAAAATGAGAAGTTTAAAGTTACATTATTTGAAAGTCAAATAACAGTTGGCCATATAAATTATGCAGTAAATTCCCACAACAACTTATAATGACGGGGCCTTGTTTAACACTTTTTATGTAGGGTATTATCACTTTTAGCTCGAGCCAGAAACTATTTATATTTGGTAGGCGAAAAAGTTTATAAAGCTTGTATAATTTTTGTATATAACATACATAATATATATATATATATATATATATATATATACAGAATTTGTATATTTTTTCGACTATTATTTTTACAGCGGCTAAACTGTATCATTTTTCCTTTTTATTTATTTCCTTTTTGGGGATAAGTTTGGAAGAGTCTCGTGATCTTTAAAAATAAATTACTTTACTTAATTTTTTGATTGTTTTACACATATTAAGGAATTCACCTTTTAGTATTAATTAACAATAAAATTGACCAAATTATTTTAATTTATTCATTGAAAATATAACAAATATTATTAAGCTCTTTACTCCAAGGGCAACTTTGTTCCTTCTTGATATCTGACAAAAATTAAATATTGTGGGACCATAGAAAGAAAATGCCAAAAAAATCAATTAAAATAGACCGGAGATAGTATTAGTTATTACTTTCATTTCATGTGAATTTAGTTATGAAAAGAGATTGAATTAATGGTTTAAAACGAATGTGGAATAAAGTGATGGAAAAGAAAAAGGACTTGATTTAGCATAAATATTGGAATTTTCTGGTTGGCAAAGCAGAATCATGTCAACAAACAGACATGGATCATGTTAACATACAGACAAATGGATGAAGTTTGGAAAGTTTTGGCTCACATTTCACTTGTTTTATCTGTTGGCGGAATATACATTACATTTGAATTGAAATTGGTTTAAAATTCACAAGGCTACACCTTAATAAAGAATTATCTTTTAGAACTATTGTGTCTGTACCATCTGAAATACGTCGAGATTGAATATATCTCTATACTTCTAATAGCTAATGATGACTCCTTTGGGAAAACGAATTTATTCAAGTTCTTATTCAAAGTAGTCATGTTCCGACCGTCCGACAAGTCATTTACTTAAAAAGAACTTTTCTTATACCGTTCGAGTAAGTTAA